CACACACACACACATATATATATATATATATATATATATATATATATATTCATGCTGCTTGGATTTATTTAGTTTGTGTTTAACAATGTTATTAAAGGTTTAATAAAGGTTAATAAGTAAGGCTGAACAAAAAACGTTGAATTTTTGTGTAATAATATTTTGATTATAGGTAATGTAGATTTGTTGCTCAAAGTTTTGTGGCATTTAAAAATGAATTATATTTCTCTTTTTATGTATGATACTTGGATTTATTTATTAAATTAATAAATTCATCTACATTTTGAAATCCTATAAAAAGATAGCTGTATGTAGTGATGATGGTTTGTGTATTGTCAGTTTTGACGGGATGGGGGCAGACAGTGGTCCGGGAGCTCCTGCAGCCGTCCCGTGGCGTAAAGTCCTATATGAACGCCAGCCTTTCCCGGACAATTATGTTGACCGATGCTTTCTGGAGGAGCTGCGGCGCAACATCCGAGTGCGTCAGTACTGTTACTGGGCGGTGGTGCGTGAGACGGGGCTCATCGCACAGCAGGTGTCCTGCGTGGCCGTCTTCCTCACATTGTGGTCTTATATGGAGCAGGGAGACCTGGTACCGTCCGCGGTGCTCTGGGTCTGTCTAGGCTGTGCTCTGCTGGGATACGGACTCTACGAGATCCTGGGAGGCTCTTGTGTTCGGGAGCGAACGCGCCTGGCGGACCTGCAGAGCTCGACCATCTTCCTGGCATTTACCTTCGGGTTTTCACCTGTTTTAAAGACTCTAACCGAGTCGGTTAGTACAGATACTGTGCACGCCATGTCAGCCGTGATGCTCCTGGCTCACTTGGTGTCCTTCCCGTATGCTCAGCCCAGTCCGCCGGGCAGTCTTTCCCTCAACGCGGCTCTTTTCGGGTCGGTGTGCCTGGCGTCCCGGCTGCCTGGCGCCCTGCATACCTTCACCATGCTGAGCTGTGCCGTCCTGGTGTTCGCTCTGTGGCCCTGCCTGCTGCACCGTATGCGGGAGAAGGCGGAGTGGAGCTTCCCGTGGGCAGCGGTGCTGGTGTGTCTGGCTGGAGTCAGGGGTCTGGGGAGCCTGTGGCCCGAGGGGGCTCTTCTCCTCTTGCTGGCTCTGTTAACATTAACTTTGGTCTGTCCACTGTTGCTGGTCCACCTGCAGAGGCACAAGGACAACATCCACGGTCCTTGGGACGAGGCAGAGATTAGAGAGGACCTGTCCCGCTTCTTGAATTGAAAATGCAGGGTTTTAAGACCATTTTAAAAGATGCTTTTGATAGACTCCCTTTGGAGGGATGATTTTGAGAGTCTTCTGCACTTTTCTTAAAGAGATCGTTCACCTAAAAATGAATCATCTGTCATCATTTGCTCATCTTCATGTCATTACAAACCTTGTATGGTTTGCTTTTTTCTGTGGAACATGAAAGAAAATGTTTTGAGGAATATTGGTAACAGTTTTGTTTACCTTTGACTTCCATTGTACAGACACATTCTTTTGTATTCCGCAGAAGCAAGTCAAACAGATTGTAAAAGTTTGAGTAAATGATGACAGAAGTTTTATTTTTGGGTAAGCTGTGCCTTTAAACTCAGGGAAGAATAGGAACAGTTACTGGGAAATTTCATTTAATTTTGCCAGTATAAAATACAACTAAATTATAAAATGGGTGAACCTCAAGAAAAGATATCTAGGTCACATTTAACACAAATTAAAAAGGAAAATAAAGTAAGGTTTATTTCTTTTGGTTAAGAAAATGAACCCCTAAAAATAGATTTAAAAAAAATAATATAATAATATAATTTTGATTTTTGGGGTATGATCTAGACATGTTTTGTGATTTAAAAATTATTTATATGGAAGTAGGGAGTTCTTTTTAACAGTATTTATATATAAATATGCATATTCTGGAATTGCTTGATTAAAAGTTTAAATGGCTTCATTTTTTTTTAAATAATACTAATATTTTAACATGCTCACTGTATTGGAAATAAATGTTTCTAACTGTGTGTGTGTGTGTGTGTATATATATATATATATATATTAGAGCTGTGAAACGATTAATCGCATCCAAAATAAAAGTTTTTGTTTACATAATATAT